TATATATATATATAGTATAAGCTGAAGCAGGTAGACTAGTGCTTCCAAACTTTTTTTAACATTGACATTTTCATTTGACATTACAGCCATTTTGGCCTTTAGAAAAAACGTTTTATGAGGGTCTCAACTCCCAATAAATGTCATTTTGGGAAGTCTAGCCACTCATTGTTACTCCATATTTTTAATACTTAAGTACATTTTATGTCAGAAATTTACTTTTGATACTTAAATATATTAGATACTTTAAGACTTTTACTCAAGTAATATTCTTAGAGGAGACTTGAACTTTTACCAATGTAATTTTATGGTAAGATATTTGTACTTTTACTCAAGTATCACTTTGAGGTACTTTATACAACACTGCTCACCATGCAGTTAGAAACAACAACAACAAACCTGCTGGTTCCGGCAAGACCTCTTTGTGGTCGAGCAGCCACGAGGCCGAGGAACGGGTTGGAGATCAACTCGGGCAGAGACCAGCTCTCAGAGTCTGGAGGAGCACTCTCCTGCTCGAAGGAGGAGGAGGAGGAGGAGGCGCCCGGACTCAAGTACCTACATTAAAGAGGGGGGAGAGAGAGAGAGAGACCATTTTACACTGATGATCTCTTCAAAACCTCCACCGGTCCCACGAGACGGAGGAGTGTCCACTTAGCAGGAGCTCTACAATGTGACACGTTTCCACGCGAAATGAGCAGGACTTGTTCCTCCTCGTCATCTTTACATCCAGAACCCACAGACATAAAACGTTTAAATCCTTTCACTCAGTTCGCTCCGTTCTTGAGTTTTTCTAGATTTAACATCTGATTTTAATGTGACTGATCACATTTTTCGTCAAAAATTGAGCGTTTTGTGAGACGTAGCTTAAATTTTATTTGTAATTTTCTATTTTTCTCATCCTCTGTTTGTTGTGATGTACCTCAGGGGTTAATGTCAWGTCCTGTTCTAATTTTAATGTGGCTGATTTGAGAAAAAATTGAGCACTTTGAGAGCCATAGATSAAATTTTATTTGTCTTTTTCTATTTTCCTCATCCTCTAGTTCAGGGATAGTCATTTCCGGTCCTTGAGGTCCGCAGCCCTGCATGTTTTACCTTTTTTCCCCCTTCTCTAAACACACCTGATTCAGTCAGTGAATTACCTCTTCCAAGTTCTGCAGAAGCCTGAAAATCATCCATTCATTCAAATCAGGTGTGCTGGAGCAGAGAAACATGTAAAACGTGCAGGGCTGCGGRCCTCGAGGACCAGAACTGACTATCCCTGTTCAAGTTGTTGTGGTGTMCCTCAGGGGTCAATATTGAGTCCTATTCTGATTCGTTTACATAGCTGCGTTTGAGACATTCAGAAAATAAACATTTTTCCATTTACTGTAACGCTGATGACATTTAGATTTATTTGCTTTGTTTAAAGTGATAATAAATGTGATTTATCTCAGAATTTTCTTACCCTAAATGAAAACATTGTCTTATTAAATTATAGTATTTGGGTTTGAGTTTGTTTTTTCAAGAACTAGTGCTCAATAAAAACCTCTAAATGTTTTCATCCCTTCTATACTTCAGCCTTGAACAATTACATTTTAAACCAAAACAAGAAGACCTCACACTGCTTTTAGCTGACACTGGCTGCCTGTTTCTTTCCAATTAATTTAGAGATTTTTTAAATTATTTTAAATGGTTTGGCACCAAATTTAACCAAGCAGCATCCAAAAAAACAAAACAGAGCACATTCATCCAGATGCTTTGACACATTTAAACTTAAAAAACATTCAGTATAAAAATATGGACGTTTAGGACAGGGGAGATTTTCTTGCCTCCCTGCTCTGACTCACCTGTGGTTTGGAGCGGCGGCGATGCAGCGCAGCGACACGAGCGCTGTGAGGAGGAACACCGGCAGCCTCAGGTGATGCATAATGCTGCTGATGAAGAAGAGTTCCTGCAGGGACAAAACAAGTGGAACAAAACAAAAAGACTCACTGATGAACCCAGACAGGAAATTAGTTTGTTACAGCTGCAGAAAAGTTCAAAATGAAGAACTGAGTTGAAAGCACAAGTTAAAAACATTAAATAAAAAGCAACATTGTAGCACAAAAAACATATTTTTAYATAACGATGTAACGAAGTTTGATCTTTTGCTACAGGAAGCTAATAACAATTACTTAAATATAAAATGAGGACATAAAAATAAAAAAGTTAGAACGTCTGATAATGAGTTAGCCTTGCTTTAGCC